GGATTTTGTCGTGCATAGTCTGAAACTGTTCCATAGTTCTGAGCAAGTACAACTCTCCCTATAAAATACGCCGCTTTAGTTTGGTTGAGTGTCGCAATATTTAATATTTTAATTTTTAAGCGGTGCAGATTTGTCTGTAGCTTTATCAGTAGAGGGGTATCGGTAATAGGGACCCAATCAGTCATAACACCTTCATATGTTAAGCTTGAGGGCTGAGGCATATATTCAGTTCTTGATGCGAGTAGACGTAGCTGTCGACTTCTTTAGACATTTTTTGAGAACGTAGTGTAAAAGAGTATTAAGTGGGAATTTTGTGTATTTATGAATTTTTTCATGCAAAAGAAAATTTCAAAAACTAAATTTCTTCATTTTTTTTTATTTTTCTTTCACTTCGGATGTTTTATTGCAGATGTTCAACTGTATAACTCGATTAGTGCTGGAAGCAAAACTCCGAGCGCCTCAGCTAGGTGCAGGAGAAAGTGGTGTACGACTTGGTGTTTCTAGTCCTAGACGGCAAGAAAAGAAGAAATGTTGTAGCTGAAGCTTTGGATAAGTTATGTCTAAAAAATGCATTTTTCCATCTTCTTTGTTCTGAAGTAAATCAGAACATTTTTCGTAATTTAAGTAAAAAGACGATGGAAATACCAGGGGGAATATGTGATGAAGATCTGTTGTTGCGGTTTCGGGGTATTTCGTTTACTGATTTACTCATTAGTGAATAGGGATATCTGAAATCCCATCTTTTCAAGCTTTTAAATTTTTCCTCAATTTAAAATTACGAGAATTTTGGCTTTTTAAGCATAATTGGCAAGAAATACTGCCTCATTATTAAGTTTTTGTAAATGAAAAAAGAATTTGGAGCACGCAGAAACAACTTTTTTTGCTTCTTTCATGAAGTTTTGAGTTCCAAAGAACTCAAGAAACGCCTGTAACTTAAAAAGGATTGTTTTATCAAGTTCTAGTATTGTATGAGAATTTTTTCGTGATCGTGGAAGATAGTTTTTTCAAGCATAGCTTCATTTTTTTCACTGTAATTTTTTCAAGCATAGCTTCATTTATTTTTAGCGTAAATTGCGCTATTCGTGGTAATACGAAGTGCATATAAAATAGCGTATAGCGAACGCTTCGCTATCTGTGCTCTTTCCTTTTTTTTGCTAATCGGCATAAGTTCTTTTCATTTTTTTAAGAATGATTATTGGTCAGTGAAGAAACTTTACGGCCTAAATAGTGGTCAGTAAATTTTGTACGACCTAAATACTGGTCATTTTTTAAAGAAAAACATAAGTGACAACTATCATAGTTGGTAAAATTTGCCATGAAACTCAACTAATTAAGCACCACAGGTTCTGACTACTTCTGACCATGAAGTATCACGGATGGGCAGGCTAAAAATTTGATGAATTTTTTTTTATTTTAAGCCCCAAATTTAGTCGTTTACCAGCTTGTCCATGCCAAATTTGGTGCATTCCAGCACCAGGGCTTAGTAGATTACAGTTGTAGTTTAAAAATCTTATTATAACGATAATTATTTGGAATTTATCTAGTCGGTATCTGAGAATCGAGGGCCCGGCTTAGCTGCTCGTGGTATGTGAAAGCATCCCAAAAACATTACTAAGATGAAATTGTCCGAGCGGTCTTGGTATTCTTGTGACAAAATTGTTTAAACTGAAAGTGCGAAGGGAATTGAGCGGGGTTGCCCAGCCGATTTGCCCTTCGATGTTTGCACTGGGTCTATGAATCATAGATTTGAGACTGAGGGAAAAATTTTAGGCAAGCACTGCATCTAAGAATCACAGGTTTGAGATTGAGGGAAAAATTTTGGGCAAACTCAAACAAAACCACAACAATTTGTAGGAGTCGTAGTAAGAGTTGTGTTGAAGTATTAAGTAAATCTTCGTGCTACAGAATCTCAAATGTACGTGTGCTAAAAACTACGACCAAATGCGACGGGTTCTAGTGATGA